TATAACAAGATGACACACCACGACCTGCCTTAGGTGAGGATAAAGACTTAAAAGGTAGTGTGTCCATAAGAAATAATAATAATAATAATAATAATAATAATGGGAAGAAGAAGAAGATGGTGAATAGGATGGAGAAATAAAAATGAAAGAAGATGAGGATAAAGAAGAATAAAAGGCAGAATGAATAATAATAATAATAATAATAATAATAATAATAATAATAATATGAAGAAGATGATGGTGAATAGGATGGAGAAGTAGAAAATGAAGAAGATGAGGATAAAAAAGAAGGGAAAAGGCAGAGGGAATAATAATAATAATAATAATAATGGGAAGAAGAAGATGAATGAATAGGATGGAGAAGTAGAAAATGAAGAAGATGAGAAAATAAAGAAGGAAGGAAAAGAAGAAGGAAAAGAAATAATAATAATAATAATAATAATAATAATAATAATAATAATAATAATGGGAAGAAGAAGATGATGGTGAATAGGATGGAGAAGTAGAAAATGAAGAAGATGAGGATAAAGAAGATGGAAAAGGCAGAGGTGAATAATAATAATAATAATAATAATAATGATGATGATGATGATGATGATGATGATGATGATTCCCAAATCCAGGCAACAGGGCAGAAACTAATTATCATGAAGGTGTGGCGAAAAACTTGACCATTGGTTTTTGCTGCTCCCTTAGACCAGTATAATGAACGAAAAAAATGTTGAATAATTATCTGGTCATCGGTAGAGAACAAAAAAAAATGCAACAGGAAGATGACAGTAGTGCTCGGAACTTACATCAGTTGCACATCACCTAGGAATCTTCCCAGGTTATTTTTTTTTTTTAATTTTCCATTTGTGACAATTCATGTCAGCACCTGAAAAAACTTTCAGATTTTGGAGGTTTTCGGATTTTCGAATTTCGGATTTTCGAATAAAGGCTATTCAACCTATACAAGCAACATCATCCTGTCCCGAACATCTAATAGTCGGAGGGGATAACGATGATAATAATAATTATTCACATACTAATAATATTTGGAGATCTGAGTATAATCAAGAAAGGTAAGCAAGGGGAACATCACTGGCAGGCCCTTGTTTACAAGAAAGTCAAACTATTGCACTTTGTGGAACTTCTCGTCCACTAAGGAGTGTAATATTAATGTAAAGAAGATAATAAATCTCTGTACATGTCAAGTATCACTTTAACATCATGATACATAAATTTACTCCCTTGCCTTACCCCAAATCTCGAGTAATGACCCGGGGTATAGGATTGTAGAAATCAGAAAGCAAAAGAACAGGGAAATAATAACAGGAGCCATAAGTAAGATCAATAATGGTACTGACAGACAAATTAACAAGATCTCAATCTCTGTTTGCATGAGATTAAACGAGCATTGCACTTTCTGAAACTGCTCGTCTACTCAGCAGAATATTATCAACGTAAGGAAAAAATAAAACACTGTATCTGTTAAGTATCTCTTAACATCAGAATTTGTGTAAATAGAATGCGTATGTTTACAACGATGCCTTAACCTGTGTATCGGGTAATGAGTTGGCAAGGGATTCTTCGACGACGGCGATTACTACTACTACTAATAATAATACTAATACTATTACTACTACTAATAATAATAGCATGAGCAGATAAATTTATTTAATAATAATAATAATAATAATAATAATAATAATTGTATTCACACATTATGAAGAGCCATTTCTGATCTTAGGTCTCTGGTTGGGACCCGGAAAGAAGCGGGTATACAAGAGAAGTCAAAGAAAATAATAATAATAATAATAATAATAATAATAATAATAATAACTTTGTCTATGTAACGCTAGCAACTTCATCGGAGATAAAAAAAAAAAAAAAAAAAAATTAACATGAAATGTGGCAAATAACAACACACCACGACCTGCCTTAGGTCTTTCCGCAGACTTGGTAGGTAGTGTGTCCATAGCAGAAATCGAATGATGATGATGATGACAATAATAATAATAATAATAATTCATACTGATAGGCATATAAAAGCTCAGAAACACACACAAAAAAACTCATGTAGATATGGTAGTGGCATCAGATAGAAATATACCTGCTAAAGAATACGACAAAATGAATATAAGGGTGTGGAAACTGAAAAAGATGTGGGGCCTTAAATCTACTGTCCCACAAAGAATAATTTGAGTGTGTAATAATAAAAAAATGGTAAATATGAGAACATAAACAAAATCACAGTTTGTCCTTGTATGCAAGAGATGGAAAAAAATCATTTCACCGTGTATATGATCCTCATCTATTCAGGAGAATATTATCAATGTAAAGAAAATATAAACATTGCATATGTTAAGTATCACTTAACTTCAGAATTAGTGCCAACAGAATGCATACATTGCCTTAACCCCAGGTCTCGGCTAATGACATGGTAAGGGACGATACTAAAGAGAATACTGGACAGTATATTGTCTGGAAGATATATCAGTATGCCACGTGCCGACAA